GGCCAGCTCAGCCCACCTGGGGGCGGGGCTGGCTGGCATGTGGTGCTGGGGGATCGAACCGCAGTCCCTGTGCTTTGCCAAGCTTGTTTCAAGTAGGTGCTTTAGACCACTGAGCCATCTCTCCAGCCCCTGCCCCAAAATTTGGCTGCTTTGAAATTTTTTTTTCAAGGCCGGGGAGATGGCTCAGTGGAATAAGCAAGTGCAAGGGCCTGAGTTCAATCCCCAGTTCTTAAAAAAAAAGGAAAAAGGAAATTCTTTTTCAAGATTAACTAGTCCACTGTGCTTAATCTCAGTCTCAAGCAAAGTCTCTGGACAGGAACAAAATGCAGACAAACCTTTTGCCAAAGTATAACACAAATCATCCACAGTCCTACAACCAATGCTGTCCTTCTTCCCAGCAGAAACCTCCCCAGTCTGGTCCTTACAGTCAGGCTTCCTATCAGCATTCTCATCTGAGCTCTGACCAGAAACTTCCGAACAGAACAGCCGAAACTGTTTCAGCACTTCGCTTGTAAGTGACATCTCTGAACCTTTCCTATCTCTTCCCATAAGCCATTGCCAAAAGTTTGTAATCCACATTGTCAGATATAGCCACAGCAACGACCCACTCCTCCGGTATCAAATTCTGTACTGGTCAGGGTTTTACTTAGAGGAACAGATATAATATAAGGAATAGATATTAACACAAGATATACAGTGTATAAGGAACTACCAGATTGGCTTATGACAGTCAGCTGCAGAGTCAGATGAGGGAGCGTGCAGAGGGTGTCTGCACACCCAGACTGAAGAATTCAGTCTGAAGCTCACTGCTGTGCTCCACACAAGTTTCTATTCGTCAGCTAATGGGTCTGCGAGGGAAGACTGAAGAGTCTGCAGTGGACGCTGAAGATTCTGCGACGGAAGGCAAAGGATTCAAGCCAGAGGCCGAAGGGTCTGCACTGCAAGCCAGTTGATAAAGTCCAAGCCGAATGCGAAGACTGAAGTTCCTCCGATGAAGTGCAATGTTGACTACTTCCTCAGCCCCATTATTCCAGTGACTAGGGTATCTCCTTTAGTAACAATAACAGAAACTTTTGCAGGTGTGGTCCAGACACCGTTATTGTTGAAAGCTTTCTATGTGGTTCCCGTTGTCCGGCCTGGGCTAGGGCTGGATTTGGGGGTCCCGAGAACATGGCAGAAGTTCTCACTCACTCGGCGGGTGTGTGTGTGTGTGTGGGGGGGGCTACAGGGAAAACATTAAATCTTGTAGCTCCATTCCCAGCACCTGGGGCAAGTTGTGGCTAGATGTGAGATCCAAAGGGCTTGACAGCCCCACACACCTGGCAGCCCCAATGGTTACAGCCCTCATGGCTTCTGGCTCACTCCTTGTGGCTTTCCTCAGGTGTTCCACATGCCTAGTTTTCCAACCTCCTAGGGTCTCCACAGCACTTTTGGCTTTACAGTCAAAGATTCACACACCACTCTCTCTCAGGTCCACTGCCTGGCTTCTGAGGCCTTCTGAAATCTGGGTGAACACTTCCCTGACCCCACAGCTCTTGCATTCTGCATGTCTGAAAAGCCAGCACCATGTGAATGATGCCAAGGTATACTGCTGCTCTAGTAATAATCAAGCCCATTTGCATCCTGGCAGAATGGTCCCCAAGTGCCCAAATGGCTGGGCTCTGTTCTCCTGTTCTCTCTCTCTCTCTCTCCTTTCAAAATGCAAATATTACATTAACTATTTCAGTGAGTTTCTTAGGACAGGAAGAACAGAAGAAGGGTGGAAGTGTGCATGGTGAAACATTTAAGATGCGAGACAAGTTTGGAGGGAAGATATACAAATAAACAGATGCACACTTACGTTATACCATCTTTGGGGTTTTCTAACATATTTTGAAACTATAACATTGTAGAATATTTGTAACTATGATATCCTGTGGATGTCTGATATCCTGCTTCCAGTCTGGCCCTTCAAGACTAAGACATTTACATTCATGCCTAAGATTATCCACATTCTTCTGGATTATGTGAAGAGGGATAAGACTGATTAAGAGAAACAAGTGAGGAAGGCAGGTCCTGAGGTCCCAGAAGAGCATCGCATGTGCTCTAGTGTTGCAGCTGGAGTCTATAGACTTTTTTTTCCCTTCCAGATACAGGTAGTAGTTGTAAGAAGTAACCATGTCTTCAGTTTCTATATATTAGAAAGACAAGGGAAGCATAGGCTTCTAAGGGCTACCTGTTGGCTGGTCAAGGAAAAAGAATATTCTGCTGATGAAAAGTACTTAGTTTCTTTCATCTTTCCCTTCTCTCTCTCCTTTTTTTTTTTTTTTTTTGCAGTATTAGGAATCAAACTCAGGACCATTGTGCTTTCCAGTCAGGAATTTATGCCCCTGGGCTGTATCCCCGGCCCTTTAGGCTTCCTTTTTTTTCTTTTTCCATAACTGGGACTTGAACTCAGACCCTTGTGCTTGCCAGGGAAGTGCTTAATCCACTGAGCCATATCCCAGCCCTAGGCTTCCTTCTTAATGCTAATCCTTTCAGCAACCAACTTTTCTTGCTCCAACTTCACAGGCCCAACTTTTCCATAGCTTCCTTTCTGGCCAAATGCAACACTTTTTAAATCATTCAGCTGGGGCTGGCGAGATGGCTCAGTGGTCTAAAGCACCTACTTGGAACAAGCTTGGCAAAGCACAGGGACTGCGGTTCGATCCCCCAGCACCACATGCCAGCCAGCCGCGCCCCCTGGTGGGCGGAGCTGGCCACACACACACACACACACACACACACACACACACAATAAATAAATAAACTTTAAATAAAAAATAAAAAAAAATTAAATCATTCAGCTGTGATATTTGCTTCTGCTTTTGCTTTTCTGCATAAACAGGGCTAA